TCTGTCATTTGACGACTCATGTGAGTTGGCTGGATGACTAAATGCACCGTCTTCTATATATATATATATAATTGAACACATGAATCATTGGGCCATATTCTTATTGGATTATGGAATCCATCATGAAATCCCATATTAAGATTATAATCTAATATATAATTCATATATACATATTCTTAAAGTTAAGCACATGCTATAAAACCTGCTCTAGAAAATAACTCGAGAAACAACTTAAATAATGCTACTAAACAAGCTCAAATCTCTTTCTTATTAAAATATTATCTTCTTTTTTTAATTTTTTTTATAAGATTTAATCAAGTTAATTAATTATTAAAAACCCAATTGACTCAACCCAACTCAACTCAAGTTTCTAGTCATGGTTTCTTTAACCTAACTTAGATTTAACAACTATAATTATATATACATTACCCATGCGTTGCTATAGTTTTTTTAAGATCTTTTTTATACATTTGAAAACCTCATTTTACTAATTAGATATATTATATGGTGAACGATTTATATTATAAAAGAATTCTTTTAAATAAAAAAATTAAGGATAAAATTTATACATATTTAGCTAGTGATGTCATAAATTTAATTTAATTTATAAATATAATATTTTTTAGTTACCAGTATAACTTTTTTCTTGATAATTTTAATTTAATTTAAATTACATTACTATTTTACAATTAGATTTTAATGAATATAAAATATTATGATGGCTATTATGAATTATAGTTTTGATTTTTTTCTTAAAAAAAATCATAATGTAATATATTTTCATTTAAAATATTTTTATTTTCAACACATTTTTTAATTATTTATCGAGAGAGCAAGAATAAATAACTAGGTATAGTTAAATGCGGTGATAACACAAACCATTAAAAACAAAAATCTAATAGGTTTAAGTTTTTCACTGTAGACCAAGACGCGTGGTAATACAGTTTTTTTGCAATGATTTACTAGTCATTATTATATTGATAAAAGACTAACTAATCTTTTAATTTTTTAAAAATAATAAAATAACTAAATTATTTTTAAAAATAACAACAACAAAATTTAAACTAGTGTCTAGGTTTTTTTTTTTTTTGTATTTTCACGTTTTAAAGTATTGTAAAATGACAAAAGCAAATTTTTTTTAACTTGCATCCATTAATTTTTTTGTATTTTTAGCCTGATTTTTTTGTTATATTATAATTGAATGAGGTATAATTTGGTAATTTAATAAATATAAATATTATTTTAAAAAAATATTATTGTCATGTGCATTGCAAATATTAACACGTAGGTAGTTGTTGTGCCATTTAAGCAACATACAAGAGGTTTTAAGCTATTAAACAATGGATTCTAAAGCAACATTCAAATCATCTTGACAACTTTTTCATCTCTAAGCAGAGAAGACTTTTGGTAGGATGCTTACGATCTTTTCTTTTTTTTTTCTTTCTCTTTATTTATTTTTGCATCTAACCCTTGAATTTTTCTTCTCTAAAAATTTTATTTTTTATTCTTTTTATTACTATTTTTTAAAAATAATTTATAAAATTAGAATATTTTTAAAATTTCAACTTCTAATTTTTTCATCTATTTTGGTCTTTATTCCTTTTATTACTATTTTTCTATGAGATAATTTTTTCAATTAATTTTTTTTAGGATTTCAACCTCTTTCATTTTCTTTCCTATCATACTTGATCATCATTTTTTTATTGCTGTTTTTTTAATTTGATAAATTTATTAAATTGATATTTTTTTATTTCATCTTTTAATATTAAATTAATTATAAACTAAGCTTATTGATTAGTATTTCACGGATTACAAGTTTTGAAGATTGACTCAAGTTTAGGATATTCATTTAGGTTTGTTTTTTTTTTCATCTTTTTTTTAAGCTCATGCTTTTTAAGTTTCATCCTTCAATATTTATTTGATTAAAGATTGGATTATGTTTTTGTTTATTTGTTTTTTATAGGATTTTTTTTGGATTTTAAAAATTACTTAAATCATCTCATTTTTTTTTATTTATCATTCTTTATTAAATTTAAATTTTTTTATATATCATAATCATTCTTTATTAAATTTAAATTTTTTTAAATTTTTTATATATCATGATATTTTGCTTAGTTTATTTTCTAAGTCGTTGCTTTAATAATATGTGTGATTTTTTTGATATGGTTGTACACTCTTTCATGATGGCTTTTGAATTATTTTAGCAGGCTCTTTTTGATAGTTAGACAGTTTCCACAGCAAAGCAACGATAAGTATTCAATACGTATCCAATGGACATTTCTTTTGTTTCCTTCCAAGTGTGATTTGATTGCTCATTTTCAATAGATAATTATTGTTATTTTTTATTTGCCGACATGTTTTTTAATTATATTTATTAAGTTATGTAAGCTTATTACACTCGGTCAAGCGATGACCAAGTATTATATCTTTCTTGTTTTTTTTTTTTTTTAAAGAATGTTTGATGGAATCCACGTTAGCCACATGTTTGAGTGTGTGTATGATTTGTTGGGAAGGCGCTAGCAATCCATGCTGTAGCTAGTGGTGGGGTGATGGCAACTGGAACTTGTAGTCTGATGGTGAGATTCCTGCCAAGTAGTTTATTGAAGGATTATTTTTCAAGGTTTTCGCCAGTGGCCTTTGCAGCCACTACTTGGACACAAAACCCACCTACTTCTACTTTCATGAATTTCCACTTCGTGACGTAGTTTTGATTATATATATATATATGATCTCACGTAATCCGCTATTCGGTCACCTCTACAAGCTACCAGTGTCTCCTCTGAATCGTGGTTAGGTCTCCACGGGTGAGGAAAAGGAAGGAATTTCGTTTGTGTCAACTGTTAGTAAATCTCTGAACTATTGAATGACACGAGACTCTGGTTGTATAAAAGCTATTCAGCTGAGAGGACACAGGCCATGTTCTCGTGCACGACACCATTGCTGGTTTTGTCAAAAAGTATTGTTATTTGTCACGTCCTTCTCAATCTGAGGCCATGTAGTCGTGGATATGGATTAACATCGTCATCATCATCCTCATCAAATCACTGTCACTGGTCAATGTATATTCTCATGCTCTGAACTTGTGACGGTCCCATGGCTGCTGATTACCCTTCCATTCTGGTGGCGGCGCAACCGGGGCCGGAACGACCCCGCCCATTTCCTCCTCATTACCAAAATCTGACTGCTCTCAGTCAATCAACCGCATCCACATGCTTCCAACTTAGGTCTTTCTTCACGTTTCTTTTTTTCTATTTTCACATATCAGCACTTTTTAAAAAAAGAAATATCACATTTTATAAAAGTCTAAAATGCAATATCTTATCGCTATTCAGAACGATCACTTTCAAGAAACAATATTAAGCGTGCAGGGAAGAGAAAAGGAAAAAAAAAAAAAAAAAACTCCATTGACATCAAAATTTCGATTACAATAGTATTGATATCATCAATAAGATAAATCTAACATATCAGAAAGGATCACGGATAATTAGCCGAGTATATTATACTTGGTGTCTAAAAATGATGGATGATATATATGTATATATTTAGTGGTGTTGTTTTCAGTTCTGTATTATCTATCAATTGCATGTTTAAATACATTTTGTTTGCTTTCCACTACAAACCTTGCAAGCAAGACAAGATGAAGCTTCTTTGAAATGTTGTGCATTGGTCCCATTGAAATGACCATGAAACTTCCAAGGCTTATACAGGCATTTTCTTTGTGGGGCAGATAGATTCAAATGTCATATTATTCATAATGACAATGGTTTTTACCCTGTCGGTATATATATATAAACTGCATTTATATTCATTTATTAAAAAAAAAGGGTTAGAAAATTGAAGTTCTACTCCTTCAGATCGAGAAATACATAAATTCGAAAACAAATTATTAATTTGTCTGCTCAGGGCACTGTGACCTGTGATCATCCGATGATCTGTCGGCTCAGGGCACTGTGTCTGGGGCTGAACATCCCAGATTCCAAGTCCCCTTGTGCATGCTCATGGCAGGCTGTGAAGTCACTACGAACTTTCTTTGTAATTCTTGTAGTTTTAGATTTATTGGAAGGTTCAATTAACCTTCTGCCAGGAAAATAAGATATTAGCCGTTCATCATTTCTTAAAGCACTATTTTTCTCCATCTTCAATTTGAACCAGTACTGGTATCTGATTAGTACACCCAAAATAAAATTATAATTTATCCTTAAAAACCTTTATGTTCTTTTTTAAAAAATATTTTTGAAAATATTTAATTTTTTTTTTATTTTTTTGATTTAAATTAATTGTTTTAATGTTTTTATATTGTTTTGACTCGTAATTATAAAAAATAATAAAATAAATTATTTTAATAAATTTTTAAATATTTTAAAAAATAACCATAATTATAATATTAAAGGTATTCATGACTGCCTGTTTCTTTATAATCTCAAATCATAATGTAACGTACAAATATTCCTATTTTTTTTTTTAGATTAATATAGGTGTTGGGACTAGCTTGCGCACATCACGATTAATCCCACGGTCCCTAAAATTAACGACTGTGTAATATTCCTACCTCTATTGATTAAAAACAAGCATGACTTGTCAACAGAAAGAAAAAAACAAATACGTGGTTTCTAGCTAAACTTTAATTATTCAGACTTGAGAGCCTCTAGAACAAGTCAAGCCGCATGACAATAAGAGTGAATTTTGTTTTCGTATTTTAAAAATGATTTTTAAAAAATTAAAATTAATTTATTTTATTTAAAATTAATTTTTTTATGTATTGTATTAAAAATAAATTTTAAAAAATAATTTTAAAAATAACTGTATATAAAAGCCAACAGTTTTAAACAAACGGCTGGTAAGCTTGGAGCCGTGTCAAATCAGGTAGGTGACAAAGACCTTTCCATCCGTCATTTCTCAGCAGTTTCCACAAGGAAAGGACGCTTGAGAAATAACATTGAACCTCTTCCTTACGTTATTACCTTCGCATCAGCCAAATGCCGTCACTTTGTGAATACTAATCCCATCAATTCTTTTCACGTTTACCATAAATATACCCCTCACGTTTCCTCTCTTTACGTAGCCATAATTTCCCTCATCCTGCCTGACTGTGTCTTGGTTGCAAGGCGACCTCATCATAGGTTACCATCTTTATTTTCAAGTACGTAAGCTAGGATCACTATAATGTGACAAACCTCCTCATTAAATGGCATTTATTTTTGTGGCTGGCAGTTTTTTCAAAGGAAACTGGGGGTTAAGGCTTATCCGCGAGGCGGCATGATGATACCAGAAGGTGCAGCTTCCGATTACCTGAGCTGGAGGTTGGCTGCGGAGACGCCTAACAATGTGAGTGCGTGGCGCACGGTCCCTTCTCAGTGCTTGACGTACGTTGAAGCTTACATGCTTGAAGGACAGTATGGCAGGGACCTTGACTTGATTGTTGACCAAGTTTTGAGTTATATTAATGAGATAGATCCCTCCAATGATGGCATGGATGCTTGGATCCTAGATGTTGACGACACCTGCATCTCTAATCTCATCTACTACAGGGAAAAGAGATATGGGTATGTGTGCATGGTCATATATGTTCTTTGTCCATTGGTATACGCTTATTAATCAGTGGTGTTTGTGTCCTGTCCTGTAGGTGTGATCCATTCGATCCAGCTGGTTTCGAGGCATGGGCATTAAAGGGAGGATGCCCAGCAATTCCTGCTGTTCTTGGATTGTTTAACAACCTAGTTCAAAATGGTTTTAAAGTATTCCTGATCACTGGCAGGGACCAGGAAACACTTGGCCAAGTCACTAGTGATAATCTGCATGATCAGGGCTTCATCGGCTATGAGCGACTAATCTTGAAGTAAGATGATATAATTAACCACACACTACGAAACCGGGTCGGAAAAATCTACATAATAAATATATTTTCAATGGGGCAAATGATTAACCTGAGTGGATATAGTTCTCTCTAGACTTGAACATAACATATATTCTCCTTCAAAATGATTACTAAATCGGAAATCACGTGGAAGGATACCTCATATACAGTGATTTGAGAACATAGCATATCAGGCTTCCTCGCCATATTTCCTCTCAATGATCACGTCTTTTAAATCTGCTTGTTTGCTATTATTTGTAATGTTGACTTTGCAGTTGATATGTTGAAGTTAATATCATGCCAATTAACCGTGCATATTTTCGGATGCCATTCGGATCAACACCAATGCAAGGACGCACTCCTGTTCCATCAGAATCATAGGCTAGGAAACCCCTTGATTAGCTCAATCTACAGTCAAGAAGCCTATCCAAATTGGAAAAGGAAACTAAGCCCACCACCACCTAATGCCAAAAACTTGCCTTTCCAAGAGAAGTTGTGTGGATGAGCCCTGGATGTTCAAATTCCATGCCGGCAGGATTGAATGGGAAACAGATATGTGCATGATTGAATGTCAGCATAATACAGAGTAATAACTCTGTTTAAATGGCTCATGATATACCCAAGATTCCTAATCCTTTTGATGTCTCAATCTCCACAGGACGGCAGGATTCAAAGGACAAAGCGCAATGGCATACAAGTCAGAAATAAGAAGGCGATTAGAAAAGGAAGGTTACAGGATATGGGGGAACGTTGGTGACCAATGGAGTGATCTGCAAGGAGAGTGTTTGGGGAACCGCAATTTCAAGCTACCAAATCCAATGTATTTTGTTCCCTGAGATTCAGTGGAATTCTTGTTGCAGTGTGTTTTCTCTGGAAATGATCACAAGATAAGACTTGTAGCATTATTATCATGCTCGCAAATGAAGCTAAACATAATCAAGTCAAATAAATGGCACAAGATTTTAGCAAATGAAGTTACTTTTATTAGCCTCTGAGCAGTATTCGAACACAGATTAGTGCTTCATGAATGATCAAACGTAATCATGATGAGAATATTAATCATGTTTTCAGATATTGCAAAAAACTCAAACTAGAAATCCCCGTAAGAAAGCCTAAAACCACAAATACATAAAGGTAAAACAAACAAACAAGGGGCACGGACTTTGGAATTAAATGAAGTTTTACCTGTCAAAACCAGTTTCGTGTTGAGAACAAAATGCCCTTGTATTTATATGGAGTATATAAATTCTGTATACAATGCCCTTGTATTTATATGGAGCATATAAGTTAAGCTAGGGGTGTTCATTTTCGGTTCGATTCGGTTTTTATCAAAATAAAATAATTAAATTGAAAAAAAAAATTTGAAAAAAAAATCGAAAACAAACTGGGATCGGGTCAAACCAACCGGTTTCAGTTCGGTTCGGTTTTTTAGGGAAAAACCGGTTCAAACTGGTTTGACTCGGTTTTCTGGTTTGACTTAGTTTGCTTGGTTTTGACTCGATTTTTTTCGATTTTGGCTCAGTTTTTCAGGTTTTGGCTCAGTTTTTTTGGTTTTTATCGGTTTGTGGTTCGGTTCGGTTCGGTTTTTTCGGTTTTTTGGTTATGAAACCGAACCGAACCGGTTGGTTTTTTCAAAATTTTAATCGATTTAATCGGTTTTTTTTTGTTCAATTTTTTCGGTTATTTTTTTTTCCAGTTTTTTCAGTTTTTTTGATCACCCCTAAGGTAAGTTATCCAATAAGTATTCTAAACACAAACATTTTCCTATCTCAACATTTGTTTTTTCAAAATTTTAATCGGTTTAATCGGTTTTTTTTTGTTCAATTTTTTTAGTTTTTTTTTTTTTAGTTTTTTTGATCAACCCTAAGGTAAGTTATCCAATAAGTATTCTAAACACAAACATTTTCCTATCTCAACATTTATAACTTTTTTGCTGTGTTGAGAGATCAGAATCTCCTACTTAGAATAGAAGATACATAAATATTAGCTTTTTTAATGTAATTATTTTTTCTATTTAAAATAGAAGGTCTGCGGAGTTTTTTTTTTTTTTTATTGTAAAGCAATCACCTTGTATAAATATATGATACGGTATCAATAATGTATCACTGCATTGAATTCAATCTCTTCTTTATTTATTTACATTGTATTAGAGCGGGACTAGAACCCTATAACTTCTTTACACCCCTAATCTCTTGTGTAGCTTCCTTTCTCATTCAGCTATCATGACTAACCAAGAAAGTTCTATCATTGGCAAGAAAATTACCGATCCCGGCAAACCAAACCCATAAATTTTTGCAAAACTTTCAAAAACAAATCTCTCAAATCCATACTTCACTTATCATTCAGATTATCCAGGCTTGATCTTGATTTCTAAACCCCTGAATGGGGATAATTATTCAACTTGGAAAAGTACTACAACTCTAGTTTTAAATTCCAAGAAGAAGTTGTGTTTTGTTAATGGCTTAATCAGAATCCTTTCAGAGGAGACTGATCATGAAGGTTATGCCGTATGATCTAGATGTAACGATATGGTTCACTCATGGATCATCAACACTATCATTCCGAAGATCTCAGATAGTGTGATTTACTACTCTATAGCTCAAGAAGTTTGAGAAGATCTTTATGATCGATTCTCTCAAAGTAATGCACCTCGCATCTTTGAGATTCAACAAGATAATGCTTGTCTTCAACAAGACTAATTTCCTATCTCAGCCTATTATACAAAATTGAAGGGCCTGTGGGATGAATTAGCCTCCTACAATGATACAATCCATGGAGCACACAAGATCAACAAAGATTAATGCAGTTTCTGATGGAGTTGAATGATTCTTACAGTGCTATTCATGGACAAATTCTCTTAATTTATCCATTCCCAACTGTTCGTTAAGCCAATTCCTCCGTCTTTCAAGAAGAGAAGCAATGTCTCTTAAGCTCAATACATACTGTAAATGACTCTGTTGATAGAGCTACCATGATCATCCGTAGCAACAGTGGCAAGACCACCCCATTAATAGGTATAGGAAGACCTGAACTTTCTTATCAATCATATGAGACGTATGACTTTCGATCGCAACTAGAGACTTTCACATGAAGACCTGACCAAGATAAATAATGTTTTAGCTTTAGAAGGGGACATCCTTTTTATTCCCACTGTGGAGAACCAGACCACTAGGTTCAAACATGTTATGAGCTGTATAGGTATCCAGCTAGCCATCCTAATACGAGGCATAATTCAGGTTCAAAGTGTTTTGGCAACAATAAATCTGTAGCTAATCATGTGTTAGAGGATTTTTCTAAAAAAGATAGAAAATCAGTGGTTGGCATCTTAGAGACTTAATTGAAGCAGCTCTTATCACTTCTTAATGATAAAAATGAAGAACCTAGCTCCTAAGCACATGCCGTAACAAAGCCAGGTTTGTTTAAAATCACTTCTCGCAGTTGGATTATTGACAGCAGGGCGACATATCATATTTTCTCTTTATTAAAATTACTTTTACGTACAGATAAAAATTATTCTTTGCCTTTTGTTTTACTGCCTAAAGGCCAAAAGGCCAAAATCTTTACCAAAGGATCACTGCCTCTGAATTCTATTTATTATCTCCATAATATGCTTTGTGTACCTACCTTCAAAGTTGATTTGATGTCAGTAAATCGTTTGACAAAAGGACTGAATTGCTTAATAATATTTTTTTTAACCAAAGCCCCCCTGCCTCTGAATTCTATTTATTATCTCTATAATATGCTTTGTGTACCTACCTTCAAAGTTGATTTGATGTCAGTAAATCGTTTGACAAAAGGACTGAATTGCTTAATAATATTTTTTACTTATTGGTGTATTTTGCAGGATCTAGCTACGATGAGGACGATTGGTTAAGGTAAACAACATGACGAACTATACTACTTGGTGACATTAGCAACGAAGACATCTATGATCAACTCCAACTCACCAAAAAACCTACCAGCCTGCAATACCACCATCTCATCAACCAATCTTTGGCATAATCGCCTTGACCATATATCACCTCATCGCTTTAATTTAATTGCCAAGAATTTTTTAAATTTTGTTGATGAATTCCATAATGTGTGCCCTACTTGTTCGTTGGCTAAACAAAGTCATTTACCTATCACTCTTATTGTTATTTCTTTTATAAAACCCTTCAAAAAAATCCATTGTGACATTTGGGGTCGTTACCGACACCTTTTTATTTCTGGTGCTTTTTATTTCCTTATTGTCATTGATGATTATACACGTTTCATATGGATTTTTTTAATGAGACAAAAATAAAACACAATCACTCTTAAAATGTTTTTTTAGCTATGTTCATTCTCAATTTGACTCTCACATTAAGATTTTTCAAAGAGACAATGATGGTGAATCTCTTTTACTCCGTTTTTTTTTTAAACACACTGGTGTTATCTTTTAACATTTTTGTGTTTACACGCCCCAATAAAATAGGGTTGTGGAACACAAACATCATCACATCTTATAGGTAGCCCAAGCTTTAAAATTTTGGGGAGAATGTGCACTTACTGCAATACACATCATCAATCAACTCCCCTTTTCCACCATTTCTTTCAAAACTCCTTTCAAACTTCTCTACTCCAAACCACCTTCTTTTTCCTATATTCATGTCTTTAGTTGTTTAGCTTATGCTACCAATGTTCATCCTTCTTACAAATTTGACAATCGTTCCATGCCCTCAGTTTTTATTAGATATCTCATCTGTCAAAAAGCATATAAATTATTCGATTTATCAACATAATTTTTTTTCACCAATCGCGATATGCGATTTCATGAACATATTTTTCCATATGCTTCTGTCCAACCCAAATCCACCTTCTCTCCTCCACACACACCTTCTAGTCCTATTCCCCTTATATCCCATAACACAAAGTCCTTTGATTTTGATTCATCCACCTTACCTACATCCACTTTCCCTCCCATACTAACTTCAGTTTCCCTTTCACCTATACCTTTGTCCTTTGTTCCCACTGATTCAGCTTCAACCACACCTATCATCGATCCACCATCTCCGCAACCTTTGTCCACTCTTCACACCTACACATGCCACCCTAAAACTTTCACCCCATCTGTGCCATTTACCAACCTAACTGATCATCAAGACGCATCTCAACTCACCTTCTCTGCCCCTCCTTCATTACCACCTGATTAGCCTCACCTACACCCCCACCTTTCTCTCACCGATCAGTCTCCTTAACCCACATCTGATGCCACTCTTCTTCGTTGCTCTAGCCAACACACTATCCCGTCAACCAAGCCTCATAATTACTTCTGCTCTAATATTTACTCCCATCAATCGGCCTCCTTACTACTAATTCGACTAAAGGTACATGTTATCCACTAGCTAATTTTATTTCTTATCACCGCTATACCTTTATAAATCAATCTTTTATTGCTCAGCTCCATACTATAACATAACCTAAATACTATTCTGAAGCTGTTGCTCACCCTGTATAACAGGAAGCTATATATACTGAATTGTAGGCTCTTCAGGAAAATGGTACTTGGTCCCTCACACCACTCTCGGCTGGTAAATCACTAATTGGTTATAGATGAATGTATAAAATTAAACATTGTTTCGATGGTTCTATCAAGCGCTACAAAGCATGCCTAGTCACCAAGGGGTTCACACAACTAGAAGGTGTGGACTTTCACGATACCTTCTCTCCCACGGCTAAAATCATCACTATTCGCTTTTTACTTGCCTTGGCTAAATCTTGT